CTTGCCCTAGTGCACGAGAAAAATCAGATCACACATGGGCTTGGAGGATAGGTGCAAGGTTTTATTGAGTGGTGGAAGTAGCTCTCAGTGAGATGGATGGGGATCCAGCCCCTAGAGTCCAGCCGATTGCTCACCCCAGCTAAATTTTGTCATTCCAACATCAATGTCCTGCCAGTGTCTGTCAGTGTGCTCTTCTGTTTCTCTGCTCCTCTCGATCTCCAGACACTTGTATCTGTGCCCACTAGGGTCTCGGGTTTTTATGGGCACAGGATAGGGGGCATGACAGGCCAGAGTGGTCTTGGAAAATGCAACATTTGGGCAGAAACACAGGAGTGCTTGTTCTCACTTAGGTCTGTGGGCACAAGCATGGGGTGAAGGCCTAGCCAGGGACCCCCGCCCTTCTCTACCCAGCACTTCCTGGCACATATGTGCCTCATTGGTGGTATATTGAGAGTTGGCAAATGCCCTTCCTAAGAGGAAATGAGTATGTATGGTGGACCCAATGTCCTGTATTTATAAAATGATAAAAGATTTTTTAGGTGAAAGTAAAAGAAAGATCCTATGAGCAATAACTGTTTATATAAAACAAACAAGAACTGTATATTTCTGCTTGCAGTACATGATTTTCTCATATGTACCTATCATAAACATCTTTCTAGGGCAAAGAAAAATGATAGGCTCATGTTATTTCTTAGCCAGATGATAGGTTTTTGCTGAGGTGAAGAATAGGATTTATGTATATTCTTGCACTTAAAACGCTCTGATTTTTTTCTCAATAAAAATGAAGATTTAGATGTGAAGAGCCACACAGTTTTGTTAGGTGCCATTTAATGAATGCCATTTTACCCCCAGCCTCAGCTTCAGCTTGCCTTTCCCTTTCATGTTTTTCTGCCACAAAACCTCGTTACTCTTTTCTGGCTTATCATTGAAAATGCATGACTAAATTGTTTAAACTGAATTCCTGGCGTTCTGTGCTGTATATCCCATTTTGTTGGTAAGATATTCTAGTGGCTTTCCTTCTGTTCATAGAATTTGTGGTAGAAAATTGGTAAATAAATCATTTTGCTTTGTACTTGTTTTAAAAAAGATAACACAGCGGGACAGAGATATTCAACAGATTATTTTCTTCTGAAATTATAGCAGAAATAGACAAGATGATTTGCTTCAATGTAATTCACAGTGAAAGAATTAAAAAGAAATACCTTAGCTGTTGATTACAGCTAGCTGAACTATCCCCTCCACCCCCACCACCAGTGTAATTAGCTTTTGGAGTGATTCCAAATAGCTACTTTGTTGTTGTTGTTTTGTTTTTTTTGTGTGTGTGTTTCTTTTTTGTCATTTTGTTTTGTTTCATTTTGAAACAGGATCTTGCTCTGTTGCCCCAGGCTGGGGTGCTGTGACACAATCACGGCTCACTCCAGCCTTGACCTCCCTAGCTAAAGTGATCCATCCTCTTAACTCAGCCTCTGCTACAGGTGTGTGCCACCACACCCAGTTAAGTTTTTTAAAAATTATTTTTGTAGAGATGAGGTCTTACTATGTTGCCTAGGCTCACCTCAAACTCCAGGGCTCAAGCAATCCTCTCACCTAGGCCTCCAAACGTACTGAGATTACAGGCATGAGCTTACCAGTCCACCTGGCCTACTTTACTTTTTTAACTTATTTGGGTCACAATGTGTAAAAAGGCACAATTAACTTTTTTTTTCTTGGTAATATGTAAATAACTATGTGGAGATTGTAACTAAAAAAATTTTATTATATTTGTTTTTTGTCAATATAGTATTGTACATCCAGAAGATGTAAAGAACTGAGGTCAACTTGCAGAGCAAGGACAAAATGTAAATGCAAAATTAAGTAATACATTCTACATAGTGTTTCTGGGTGTTCCATAGTCAAGCTGTAGGTGGAAATAAGGTGTTTCTATTGCAATTCTATTATCTTTTTTCCCTAGTTAAAAAGTAGAGAAAGTGGCATAAAGAACTCCACATGTATGCCATCTTCCAGTTTCAATAATAATAAATCCTGGCCATCTTGTTTCATCTATATCCTACCTACTTATGTTCCCTTCTTAGTTATTTTAAAGCAAATCCTAGACATCATCTTATTTCATATGTGTATATGTTAGTATATATTTCTAAAAGATAAATACTCTTAAAAAATATTGCCAAAATACTATTATCACGCTTTAACAGTGATTGTCTCCAGCCAATTCTCTTTATATCCAGTCAGCATTTCAGTTTATTCTGATTGTGTCCTAAGTGGACATTTTTAATAGTGGTTTGCTTGAATTAGCATCTAAACAAAATCTGCACTTTGATTGATATGTCTCTTAAGTTTCTTTTAATTTGCAGATGCCAGCTCCCTCCTTCTCTTCACATAGTTACAATGTACTTGTTTAAGAATCTGGGCCATTTGTTTCCCACAGTCTGGATTTTGCACACTGCATCCCTGCGGTGTGATGTGGCATGTTCTATTGTTTCCTGTGTTTGATATGAACCGATTATTAGATTTAGGACTTGAGTAGTTCAGGTTTGATTTTGTTTTTTCGTTTGACTTCGTAGACATGGTGTGTACTTCTATCAGAAGGACGTCAGGCTGTTAATCTCCCTTTCAGTGATGTTAAAATTGATTAGTCATTTCTAGGTACCTGAATTGGCCCGATCTAACTATTATAATCAGCTTTTCGCTTACTAATTTAAGCAGTCATTGATGATCATTACCATTGATGATCATGCCTAGATATTTCATTTCCTCAAGAAAAGGAAAATAGTTTTAAAGTAACTTTTAAGAGCTGAGTGTGACTGAGAGACAAAGCTACCTGATTTTTCTTCTAAGTTTGATGGTTCACCACTTACCAGAAAAGCTAAGTCATAAAGAATTTTTACTGGACTGAAATGTAGATGATATCAGCCTGGAAGCTCTGTGAAAAAAAGGAGCCCCAAATGATCCAATCACCTTCCTGTGGAGATGGCATTCTCAGGCCACGATTTTGCAGGCCTGAGCCTAAAAGATAAATAGCATTTTTTTTTTTTTTTTTTTTTTTTTTTTTTTTTTTTTTTTTTTTTTTTTTTTTTTTTTTTTTTTTTTTTTTTTTTTTTTTTTTTTTTATGTGAAATAACAAAGCCTGGACTTTATCAAACTTTCAGTATACACTATCCTATTTGTGTATTACCTTTTGGTTAAAAATTACAACAGAGGGGAAAGAGCTGAACATCATTGAAATATCCGTGCCTCTTTCAACCCATGTCTTTGTTGGGGTTTGAGAGCCTGAGCAGTAAATAATCTCCTTCCCTGCCTTACACGCTGATCGCTGTAGATGACTTTCCTTTCCACCATTGACCTTCAAAGAAAAAGAGGGAAGGGGAGGAGAGATCTGAAAAGGTGTTCCAAACCAGTAGCTATTTGTTGACAGGAATTTGGGGTGAACTGATGCTCCATCCTGGAAAGTACAGTAACTTGGATATTATCTCATCTAACATCTTTGCCATTCCAAGATTCCTTTTAAAAGAACCTGACAGATGAAGGAGACCCTCTTTTCATGCTCTGTACTCCTACAGTATTCATCTGTTTCCTTCTGCCTTTTTAATTCAGTATGTCCTATTTTCATTATTGGACTATACATTCCTTGAGGACAAGGAATTTATCTAATTCTTTTGTTTAATCCCAAAGAAGTTGACAAACACAGTCAGATATAAACTAAAGCAGTGAATGCAGATTTTACGCTATCACTACTGATAGCAGGGGAAGGAGCAGAGCTTCATTCTGATTTGTGCAGAGGTGATTGGGCCTTTCAAAGGGAGAGTGAGGGAGTAGGTGGAGTCGGAGGCTCAGGAGTGTCAGAGAAGTGAAGACTTACAGAGCATTGGTCCCTGTAGATGTGATTAGGCTGGCTGTGTCTGCTGCCTGAGAGTTATCAAAGTTAAAATTCTGTGCTTCCAGAGATTGGGAGACAGAGGCCCTGTCCTTCCTGATGATTACATTTCATAGGAATGGCTCTCCAGTCCTTGATGGAGATCCTTCTGTGTTGTAAGATATAGGTATTCACAGTCATAAGCACATTTTTGTAAATGCTGTAAGAAAAGGAGATTGGGGGCCTGTTGTTAGGTGTTGATTAGAGCAAAGAATAAATTCTCCTGACACCATTTCTCAGGTAGGCATTTTAATGAGGGACTGGGGTCATCCTAGGGATACAGCCTTATGCCGAGGCCATGCTAGAGTGTGGTCATCTCCTGGTGCAGATATTTGAACAAAGTCGTTATGTGCAGTTCTCAAGGGTTTAGAACACTGGTTAGTGAATGTGCCGACTGAATAAATTTAAATAACTTCAATTTTCAATATCCTCAATGTAAGGGGAACAGCTAGAATACCTTCCACTTTACCTTAGTGCCTATCCATTGTCCCTGCATCCACTTGGATGTCCTTGTCAGCCAGGACACCTGCAGTTTCCCTCCTCCTAAGACCTGGCCCCTCCATTTGTGAATAAGTGATATTATCTCCATACTACAAATATTTTGATTTTTTGAAATAATTTAATATAGATCAGTATATTATAAAAATGGTGAAATATTTTCAAATCTGCAGGATTCTGGGCACTATTAAGAAGGGATGGTTCAAATGTCTCTTGTCAATGGAATCATATCTGAAACAGAGTGGCATTTTAGTCATGGACTTTTGTCAGACTTCTCCTTCATAGCATTTATTTCAGGTTGTAATATATTTATTTGTATGATAATTTAAAAATAGTTGTCATAGAAACTGTATCTGTATTTGTTCACTGTTAAAAGGTCATCACTTCACAGTGGCTAGAACCTGTTAGATATATCCCAAAGCTATCAATTTAATAAATAAATGAGTAACTGGCTTTCCATCTTCCTTTGTCTTCTCCTTCAACATAACTTTGACTGGATAGAAATGCTATTTAATAAAAATATGGTGACTGAATGCTTGCAGAATGTCATGATTCTTGAGTAGTGTTCCAGTGATTGTTTTTCTCTTTATAGATTCCTCACCTATTCCTACCTCTTGGCCTTCAACGTGTGGCTTCTGCTTGCACCTGTGACCCTATGCTATGACTGGCAGGTTGGCAGTATTCCTCTGGTAGAGACCATATGGGACATGCGGAACTTAGCCACCATCCTCCTGGCAGTTGTGATGGCCTTATTGTGTCTGCACTGCTTAGCAGCCTTTAAGGTAATTTTCTCAAAAATAGAATGAATTCTGCATTTGAAGATAGATACTCTATGCCCATAATGTTCTTTTTTTGCACAGGTAGTCTGGGTCTAAATTAAATATTTTTTCTTTGTGTACTTAAATTTTTTGTAGCTAATAATAAAATACCATGGCTACCTTATAGATTTTTTGACTGTTTCTGCTAACCCTGTATTGAATCTGAAGTCCAATGTTTGTAAATGAGAAGTTACTGCTGTGGTTGTCTAATTTTTTGATGTAATTTATTTGATTTAATATAAGGATAAATGAAACTGTGATAAATAACCTATTCATAAATTCTTAAAATATGGTTAAGACTTTACTTTCATGAATGACTACCTGAGGTAGTTGGGTGATTTCTTCCACCACCTCTCTAAAAAGTATAAAACTGTACAAAATTATTAAATACAGCTTTTTCAAAAATGACCAAAGACCAAAGGCAAATATACTAGTTCATTCTCACACTGCTATAAGGACATACCTGAGACTGGATAATTTATAAAGGAAAGACGTTTAGTTGGCTACCAGTTCTACAGGGATAGGGAGGTCATAGAAAAGTTCCAATCAGGACAGAAGGGGAAGCAAACATGTCCTTCTTCACGAGGTGACGGGAGAGAGAATGAGTGCCCAATGAAGGAGAAAGCTCTTTATAAAACCATTATATCTAGTGAGAACTAACTCACTATCATGATAGCAGGATCGGGGAAACTGCCTCCAAGATTTAATTATGTCCACCTGGCCCCCAGAACATATTGGGATTATGGCAACTACAATTCAAGATGAGATTTGGGTGGCGACACAGACAAACCATGTCAGCAAAGAACTTGAAAATGTTTACTTATGAAGAACTATTACTGCATTGGATAAGATGCTTTTACCTGAAGGTCTTTCCATCCTGTCAGATCTAGCAGTAAAAATCTGTAAGTTTGTCAGTTGTAATTGGCTGGTAAATTTTGGAAAGTTTTACAATTTTGGAAAAATTTGGTTTGGGAGAGAAACAGAGCAGCTAGAATTTTAAGGAGAAAGTTTTAGAAGACAGAGAAATATAGAAGGGCAGAGGTAATATGCTCTCCGTTCAGTCATGGCTGTTAAATGACATATGCACAAGCAAAATTAAAAGCCCTGGGAGACTTATTTGCTACAAGTTTGAATACATTCTTCAACTTGTACATGAGTTCGGCAGCAGAGATTGGAAAATTCACTGACTTCGATTATCCATGTGTATAACCTTTACACAAATCATTGGCTGATCACAAAGCCATGTTGGTGCAAGAGACATTCCCAGAAATCCAGACAAAAGAAAAAAGAACTAAGTAATAATTTCAGTATTCTGCAGAGAAACAGATTTTCCAGTTTGACTCTGCACAAGTTCACCAATGTATTCAAACAGGAAAACCAATAATTTCAGAACAAAACAGAATCCAGAGTCCCTATAACATATGACAGGTAATGCCCAGTTTAACCAAAGATGATTGGATAAGTGAAGAAACAGGAGTGTGTGACCATATTCAGTTGTTTTTTCTTAAAAAGTTAATAGGAAGTGGAATAGAATTAAGAATTCAGAGCTAAACCCACACTAATGGGATCATCTGATTTTTGACATAGTTGTCAAAGTAATTCAATGGAGAAAGGATGGTCTTATAAAGATGTAACTTAATATCTGTAAGGAAAAAATATGAATCTTAACCCTTACCTTATGCAGTATACATAAATTAATTCTAAGTGGATGATAGTCCTAAACAAAAAAAAGTAAATTACACCAAAATTTCTAAAAGAAAAGGAGAAAGTCTTTGTGAATTTGAGTTAAGCAAATATTTCTTAGAACATAGAATGTGAAAACTAAAAGAAAAAGTTGATAAATTGGACATCAAAATTAAATATTCTATTCATCAAAAGATATTATGAATTAAATAAAGAGTCAAGCCACAAATTGGGGGAAAATATTTGTAAAACATAAATCTACAAAGGCATTGTATCTGGAATATTTAAAGTGCTCTTAAAACTCAAAAGTAAGAAGAAAAAAAATAACTAAAATGGAGAAAAGATTCAAGTAGACACTTCACAGAAGAAGATATACAAAGTTTTTGATAAACACATGAAAAGATGCTCAGCATCGTTAGTCATTAGGGAACTTCAGATTAAATCCACAAACAGATACCATTATACTCTCACTTTAATGACTATCATTAAAAAGATTCCCAATACTGAGGGTTGGCCACTGTGGAGCAACTGGAATCCTCATACATTACTGATGGGAATAAAAAGTGATTTTGGCACTTTGGAAAAATTTGGCAGTTTCTTAAAAAGTTAAACATAAAATTAAGCAGCTCTACCCATCTGCACCTACTGTAAAGAAATGAAAACATGCCATATGAATGTCTTATCTCTGAATATTCATACAGCTTTATTTATAATAGCAGAAAAATTGGGAAATATCTAATGACCTAACCTGCAAATGGACAAACTCAATGGGATAAATTATTCAGAAATTGTAAGGAACAGACTATGAATACATCAAAAAATGTGGGTGGACATGGATGAACATGGTGCTAAGTGAAAGAAGCCAGACATGTAAGACTGGATGCTAAATGATATGGTTTGGCTGCATACCACCCAAATCTCATCTTGAATTGTAGTTCCCATAATCCCCACATGTCATGGGAGGGACACTGTGAGACGTAATTGACTCATGGGGGCAGTTACCGCCATGCTGCTCTTGTGATAGTGAGTGAATTTTCACAAGATCTGATGGTTTTACAAGGGGCTTTTATCCCTTTGCTCAACACTCATTGTCTGTCCTGCCGCACAGGATCCCTACTTCCTCTTGGTGAACCTTTCACCATGATTGTAAGTTTCTTGAGGCCTCCCCAGCCATGCAGAACTGTGAGTCAATTAAACCTGTTTTCTTTATAAATTACCAAGTCTTGAGTATTTCTTCATAGAAGCATGAAAACAAACTATATACACTATATGACTCCACTAATGTGAAATTCTAAAAAAGGCATAATTATAATGACAGAAAATGTGGGATTGGAGGTTGACTGTAACTTAAAATAACTTTTTGAGGTGTTTTATGCTTTTTAAAATATGATTGTGGTAGTGTTGCTGAACTATATGAATTTATGAAAATTCACCAAAATATATACTTAAAATCAGTGAATTTGTTGTATGGAAACTTTATCTCAATAAAGTATAAAAAAATTATTAAATGTTATAAATAGGTAAAAGGCTGGAATGAATACACCACTGAAATTTAAACACAAAATATAAGGGTGATCTGGAAACTGAAAGAAAAACACTTGAATGATTAAAACACCTTTTAAAAAATTAAGGTGAAAGTTATGTAAAATACAATTAACTGTTTTAAAGTGTACAATTTAGTGGCACTTAGTATATTTACAGTGTTATACAACTGCCAGCACTTTCTAGTTTCAAAACTTTATTACCCCATAAAACACCTCCTTACTCATTAAATAATCACTCTCAGCTTTCCCCCTCCATCCCCTGATAACCTCTAATCTGCTTTCTGTCTCTATGAATTTACCTATTTTGGGTATGGAATATAAAAGGAGTGTGAACCCAAAATGTCTGAGACTGGTCTCAGCCAATTTTGAAAGTTTATTTTGCCAAGGTTAAGGACACACCTGTGACACAGCCTCAGGAGGTCCTGACTACAAGTGCCCTGTGTGGTAGGGGTACAGCTTGCTTTTGTACATTTTAGGGAGAAATGAGACATCAATTATACATGTAAAATATGCATTGGCTCCATATGGAAGGGCAGAACAACTCAAAGGGTGGAGGCACTTCCAGGTCATAGGTAGCTTTAAAATTTTTCTGATTGGGAATATGTTTTAAAGAGTTATTATCAATAGAAAGGAATGCCTGGGGCCTGACATAGTCTGTAACCCCAGAACTTTGAAAGACCCAAGCAGGCAGATCACTTGAGGCTGATTTCTCTACATTCCAACCAACACTTGTTATTTATCTTTTGTTATTTTAATTTTAAGTGATCCTACTGAGTCTGAAGAGGTAACTTATTGTGGTTGTGATTTGCATTTCCTTAATGATCAATGAGGTTGAGCATCCTTTCATATGCTTATTGGCCATCCTTATATATTCTTTGGAGAAATGTCTATTTACGTTCTTTGCCCATTTGTTAATTTGAGGGACTTTTTGTTGTTGGGTTTTAAGAGTTATTTATATATTCAGGATATTAACCCCCTAAAAGATACTTGGTTTGCAAATACTGTCCCTCATTCTGTAGGTTGTTTTTTTACATTCTTGATAATGTTCTTTGATGCGCAGAAGTTTTTAATTTTTATGAAGTCCAATTTAGCTGTTTTTCTTTTTCTATCATGCTTTTATTGTCAAATCCAAAAATGCATTGCCAAATCCAAGGCCATGAAGATTTATGACTATGTTTTCTTCTAAGAGTTTGTGGTTTTAGCTCTTATATTTAGGTCATTGATTCATTTTGAGTCAATCTTTGGGTATGCAGTACAACAGTGATCCAACTTTATTCTTTTGCATGTGTTTATCCAGTTATCTGCATCATTTTTTGAAGAGGGTATTCTTTCCCCCCAAACACCTTATTTTAAAGTAACCATCTGATACATCTTTTTGTAAATGAATTTTATAAAGCAAAGATAATGCAAATTACAATCCTCAAGAAACTCTGGCATGCCAATTAGCTACATAAACTTCAGCTCAAATTTCACCTTCTTAGTTTAAAGGAGGTTAAAGGCCTACTTTAACCACCCTATTTAAAATACAGTCATATACTTTCTACTTATTTCCTTATTTCCCTTCTACTTTTTAACTCCCTTCACTTAAACTTCCAGTTCTAAAATACTGTATAATTTGGTTATTTTACTTAATGTCTATTTCTGCCAACTAGAGCATGGGCAAATATTTTTTTCTGTCTTGTTCAGTGCCATACTTCTATCATTAAGAACTTGCCCCACTCAATATTTATTACCTAA